ACCTTCGCGCAGCAAGTTGTTGATTTTCCCGTCTTTCCACTGTACAAGACATTTTGACAACAGCTCCTGGTGCTCTTTGGCTTTGGACTTGGGACCAGGCTTCTGAAGGCCTACTGCAAGGAGCACAAAGGCAGCTTTTAGAGCTATGTGTTGGCAGTTAGCACCGTTATTCCCGTCATTAATGTGCGACGTAACTTGACCTATGAAGTCTCTCCCTGCGTTACCATAGGGGACGAGAAAAACATTTTTTTTCCAGGTCCCATTCTCATTATAGGCATCCGTTATGACTGAAGTCTGCAAAACAATCTCGCTGCCGTCTGTCCGCCTACCCCACTTTATGTGTTCTGGTTTGCAGACACTAAAGTGGTCAGGAATGAAACCGAGTATCGGAAAATTGTCTTCGCTCTACTACAACTACTGCTGCTGCTGCTGCTGCTGCTGCTGCTAATAATAATAATGATAATAATAATAGTTTTAAACATTGAAGGAAATTTAAATATTGAGTGCCGTATATTAGATTAATCGACTTTTGTGGAGAATTTGGTTTATCAGTTTTAAAGTAATCTTATTCACAGAACGTGACTTAGTTGTTATGTATATTAATAACAGATTGTAAATTAGCGATGGTATTTTAGTATTACTTGTATCTTAAATAATTTTCCATGCTAGCAAATAGGTTTTTATATTTTTTTATAAGTGCAACGATGTGTAGTTTCATAGGTTACGCTGTGCGCCTTATGAAACTTTCTTTTCCTGGCATACTGAAGTTCAATAAACTGCTTCATTATAATAATAATAATAATAATAATGATTAAAAATAGTGTATACCATAAACGATTAGCTAAGTTAGTATCAAATAAGAAGGGAGAGAGCTATGCAAGCACCATGTCATGGATTAGAGCCAAGGTGTCATTTGCACTCATTCGTTTTGCTTTGTTGTGTCTGAGAGGATCACGATCCATCAGAAGAACCCTCGATATCATCGACTTAGACTTCTCCCTCGACGACGCTACCGCCTGCCCAACGTAGTTTTGTGAATTTTACAAAGAACCGCCTCCCGGTTAGCTCAATCGATGGAGCGCCGGACTGTTGTGCGGGGGAGGTCGAGGGCTCGAGCCCCGGCCGGACCAACACTCAGGGTCTTAAAATAATTGAGAAGAATTTGCTACCTTTCTATAACATCAAGAAATGGTTAGATATTCTAGTCTTCTCGGATAGGGACGAATAAATGGAGGTCCCGTCTCCTGCAGGGCTGGGGTAGGAGACGTTAATTTCCCACACACGAGATTACTGTGTGATGGATGTCCTCCCCTGGGTTGGGATGGGTGGGATATTGGGTGCACTTAATTTGGAGCCTCGCTCTGTTGTGCGACCCTCACCACACTCTGGTGAAAGTGATTAAATAACTTTTATATAGACTTCTTTTTTGTTTGTTTCTACCTTTTTGTGAATTTATTCAATCATTATGATTATATTTTAGGGCTGGTGTAATTTTATTCTCTTGGACAATAAAGATGCATTTTTTTATTTTAGCATTGATTGTAGCAATTGTAAGGACTTTAGTCGTTGCATTGATTGGCCACGACTTGCCGCCCAATCATTGTATAGGATATCTGGGTATCCAGACGTTTTTACTGCCGATAATAATAAAAATTATAATGATTTTAAAAGGAACAAATGAAAAGAAATAGAATCTCGTATTCTTCTCCTACCCCTCCTCAAAGAAAAACCAAAGATTAATTCGGGCAGGCTCCAGTATTTTCGATCTGTGAATCTGAGTCAGCAAAGTCTAGGTGTCGTCTTCCAGATCTTGGACCCCTAGGATAGCAGAGAGTACGATGGCGAAAGACACCTTAGCTCTCATCTAGGAAGTCGCGCTTGAGTAACTTTCTGCAGACTGCCTCTTCTCGTTCTCATGCTTCGTGTAGATCTGCTCTGGAGTCAAATCTCTGTAAGAGTCTGCATTAATAGTGATGATAATAATAATAGTAACGATAATAGTAATAAAAAAGGCTAATACGTTACGCCTTATGCTTCGTAGAGTACAAATAACGTGCGAATCGAGTACAAATATCACGCGTTATTCCAGAGAATCGGTTAGAAATTTGCCCGCACTGAAATAACAATTTGGCTTGTTGGATAATACCTCTCTTTTTAAAAGTTTTGTTGTGTGTTATCGCTGAATATTTTTACTCTTTGTTTGTATTTTGACTGGCCCTTCGGACTCGTCAAAATACGGCACAACTCGCTATGTGATACATGCACAAAGATCTCATTTTATGTTAACACTTAACTATGGTGACACCAGAAAGTTGTATCACATATCTTTGCCGGTATTTATCCTGAGATGTTTATCAAAATCTTTTATAATCTGAAGATATTCTTTCCATTTTGAAGCCACATCTAATTGAAATAAATCTGCTGATATCAGCTTGAAACAGCTTTTGAGTGAGAGGTTGAATGAATGCAAACTTGTAAGTTGTCATTTTTTTTCTTGTAGCCGCAAAGGATGACATAGAAGAACCGAACCAAGAGCAGATGCCAGTGAATGTTGCCTCCCTTGTAGAGTCTTGTCTTGAAAGGAACGTTCCAAACAACGGTGATAGCATATGGCCAGTTATTTGGGATTTTGCTGGCCAAGCCGTGTATCATGCCATTCATCCAATTTTCCTGTCTCAAGATGCCATTTATGTGTTAGCGTTGGATCTGACAAGAGAATTGGATGACCTAGCCAAGTGTCGTGTACGGACTATTGATCATGAAGAGGTAGAAGTAAGATCACCGTGCAGCAAGGATACCAACCTTGATCACATTATGAAATGGCTGGACTTGGTACATTCCTTGCAGAATCTCGAACAAACATCAGCGAGGAAACCATGTGAGCCTTCACCTCCAGTAATACTTGTGGGCACGCATGCAGATAGTGTCAGAAATTTGGGTCGCGATCCAAACCAAGAAATGAATGTAGTGTATGACACAATTTGTAAAATGGCCCCTACAGAAATCCTGACTCATATTTCCGGGTGTTTTGTCATTGATAACACGAAAGCTGGTAATTCAGATCAACAAGAAGACCCCCAGATAGTTTCTTTACGTCAACGGATATTGGAAGTGGCTGAAAACATGCCACACACGAAGATGAAAGTTCCATTGCAGTGGCTCCGTGTAGAGGAAAAAATTTCTGAAATGGTCAGAAATGACGTTCACTATGTTACTAAAGAAAGGTTTGAAGAGGATGTTGCTGAGGCCTTTTGCCATTTTGATGTCAAAGATGACATAGAAGAACTTCTCCACTTTTTGCACGCTCGTGGAACAGTTATCTATCATGCTCTCCCTGAGAATCCAAAGGGCTTGGTAGTCCTGGATCCAAGATGGTTGATCAAGGTACTCACTTCGATAATAACTGTGAATCCACCTCCGAACACCCCCGCTCCTATCCGAAAAAAGTACCAAGATCTAGAAAACAAAGGACTTCTTTCTAATGAATTGCTCGATCATGCACTTCAAAAGTGGAATTTGGAAGGCGTAAGGGAGGATTTGCTTGATGTCATGGAAAAGTTTGATCTCATTTGCGACTCTAGAGGCTTTCAGGGGGAAGATTACCGTTACATTGTACCTTGTATGCTGAAACCACTAATAGAGGACGTAGGAAGCAACGACGTGAACAACGGCCCTTTACCAGTGTTCCTCACATTTAGCACTAACTATGTTCCAAGTGGACTATTTTGTAGATTGGTTGTACTTTTTTGGGAATGGGCCTCACAGTTATGTAAGGCCCGCGAATCGCCCACACTGTATGCAAACGCTGCTCGATTTAATGTGAGCAAGTTATACCACCTCACCTTGGAAGCTCACCAAACTTTGATCAGGTTGAGACTTTGGACAGGGGGCGAATGCATCCCAGAAGAAGAGAAGAGACTCTGTGGGCAATTGTTGAGGTAGGTAATACAGTGCATGCGTGTATGTCTTTGTTTGCTTGGACTTAAAGGGAAAGTAAGGTCTAGAAAACGTGAACCTCAGAAGACTTTTTCCTCTGGAGTTCGAAAATAACTGCCATTTTGTCCAGTTTACTTTGTATTAGCGACAAAAGTTGCCCATTTTTACAATTTTCGTGGTTAGAAAGACGCCATTTTGGATATTACGTCAGTTATAACGTAGCAGTAGTCTAACTTTGTTGGACGCTTTGTCCTTGTTGACCTGTTTGACCTTTGTGAAAACAATTTCTAATACTCTTAATGGTTGAAATGAGGTGAACTGTCCTGTGGTTAAATGTCAAAATACACACTAGAATTCAAAAGGAAAAGGTGTAAGCCTCTACAAGTCACCAGAGAGTGAAGAACAGTTAGCTGGCAAAAACAATAACCCGCAAGGATGGCTGGCCAAACCCTGGAAAACCTCAGAACAGCCTAAACGAAGACTTCCAGCGAGATATACAAGCATATAAGTTTTCCTGGTTGACCTTGGCTTTGAACTGAAAGCTATGCTTACCTTCTCTATAATCAACACAAATTTCAGTTATTTATTCTATGAATTTTTTCAAAGCATTTTAACGTAAGCGAATGAATTGAAGCTCGAAATACTGGTACACCGTGTGTGGTAAATTCTCAGTCGCTACCCTTAACCAAAGCCGATTTCCAACATCGTGCGCTTTTCCAAGTAGTGTATAAATATATCTTGTCTTTCCTAAGTCTGTTATGAGTCCACCAAGTAAATTTTCTTTACCCCACCGGTCGCATACTCCTGCGGAAAAAAAAGAACGAAATGATATTTAAGACATTGCCAGCAAATAATCACGACAAATTTGCGACAAATACAAATTATCCTTCGTTATGCAAGCGCCCACATTTCACAATATCATATCGATTAGACACGATAAGAATTATATGAAAATATTTTTATGTCTTCCAACCGACTATTTGACGTGATTATGCAGTGCTTATCCCTTCAGAAGAAATCAAAATTTTCATTATAGTTTCATTTATATTAAGGTAATTTCTAAAGTAGACACGGTATGACGGACGCGACTTTCTGGCGCGCGTCGAAAATAACAAAGCCCTGGTTCTCACAAGTTGCTACGTTTCAATCACTTAAGAATGAAAAATATTGCGTTGAAGCTAATTCTAAGCAATGAAGAAGAAGAGACCGTGGCAAATTAAAGGTAAATGCTGAAACAGACAAAATTTAATTCGTAACAGTTAACTGCTGCCCTTTGTCTGCGTTAATTTTGGCAACTAAATGTTTCTAATCAAATTTGTCAGTGTTAACGCATACGAAGAATGATCTACGAGTCTTTCATTTTTAAGTTATTACATGCAAACTGGGACTGTTCTTAGTTCCAAATGGCTCGTATTCAATTATACACCGAATCTGGGTTCCTGTAACTGCCAAATAATTCGATTTCATTCCGAGGTAGCAATGTAAAATGAATCCGACACAGGCACTGTGGCCTTCTTTGTTAAAATAACTATCACTCCAGGGCTTGGAATTGTTTTTGAGGAAAAAACCTTTGTCTCTCAAATTGAGTCGGTGTCCTAGTACACTTAATTCTCAGTAGCATACATTCTAGTTTTTCGTAGGTTTCAGTAGACGATTGCGGCAAGAGAACCACTCGCGATTTCCAAGACGTGAGCGACTGAGCAGGTCGATATTTCTTATTGAAACTCGTTTTCCTGACTTTCTTTCTCTTTCTCCTCAACAGAGGTATCTCTTTCCCCTGAACTCGATCTGAAACATAAATGGCTGTATTATACCCTCTCGGCTAGAATAAATTCCAAGTCGAGAATTTAATAGGTGGCGCTCTCTTCGCTGCTGTTTTCCTTGTTTACACCCATTTCAGCAGGGATGTAAATTAACATACTTGACTATTTCTGCATTATTGTTGCGTCATAACAAATATGGCGTAATCGTTCGTAAATATAACGCTTTCGGCTCAAATCAATAACCAGTTAGGACAATGCAAGCAAGGAACTTTTGATAGAAGTAAACTTTTTCTAGACCTTGCTTTCCCTTTAAGGAAAAGGAGAACTGATTTGCAATTCAATGACAAGAACTACTACTGTTACAGTGAAACTTTAATTTTTTTTATTTCTCAGCTCCAAGGAGGAAAAAAAGGGTGTTAGATCTTAAAAAGTCCAGTACCAACTTCCTTCCCACTCCAATATACTCCGTTTATTCCCACCACCTTGTTCCTCACAAGTTCTACTTTACCATTTACAGAACATACAAAGTTTGCTATTGTTTTTTTTTTTTTTCCTCTAGGCATCTGGATGATTGCCGAACGAAGCTGCAAAGCAAATATCACTGGTTGAAGTCCGTTTCTTGGGATTTGTTTCTACAATGCACATTGTGCAAACCTTGTCCGGCCAAGTGTCGCAAAGAAACGAAAATTTGTGTTTGGCATAAAAAGCAAGGTTGTTGTCACTCTGACTGTGGTCACTACATTCCATTGGAAGGCTATACTGAAAGTTGCAGGCACTCTGCTCGTAAAGCACCTTCCTTTTGTCAAGAAAAATTGAATCCTTGGATTCAGGTCAGTGAGGTATGTCCATAAAAAGATTTAATCAAAACAAGGTCAACTAATATGATACCGTTACTGCTTCCATACTTTCATGCTCTCAAGAAATTTGTCGCAGTTACGATCACTCCTTTCAAGGATTAACTCTATTTGGAAAATCAAGTCGCATGTTACACTCACATTAAAAAATATAACTGAATCGTATCAAACATTCTCTATTTTTTTTCGCCTGCTCATTTTGTACTCCTGTAACAGTTTATGAAACTACCATAAGACTTATTGCTTAATGTAGAAGAAAAGAGCTTGATTGGTGTTATTCAATTAAACATATCGTAAAGCAGGTTGAGGTTTGTCATCGTGGTCAGTAACACTTTCAAGAGAGAATGATAATCGTTTGTCTGTTTGATTGGTTATTTCGGGTGTGGAAGGCGACGTTTCAGGCGATGAGTACGCGCCATTTATATGCTGGTATGATTAACTAACTGTGATTGGATGGAATTCCACTGCTCAGATTGGTGCCTTTTCGAGTGCATTTTCGGCTGTCCTGCTGTCGTGTTTCTTGATCGTCGGTATCCAAGCTTGTGGGATTTCTATTCCACTGTCCATGTTGTTGTTGTCAGGGCTAAAGCTTATGTGGATTGCCTCTTTTACTCTACGCGGGTGGAGATGGGAATCATGTTCGATAAAATTTACTTCGTGGTATTTGTTACCCTCTTTGCCAAAGAGGGAGTATGACCATTAAAAACAAGAACTGATGGAAGATGTTTCTTCTCCATGGAGATAACTGAGGATTTTGTTACGAGACATTTCGCACCCTTGTAAAGGCGCTTGAGAATACCGCGCTTTGCTGATTGTGGATGTTGTGAATCATACGCCAGGTATGGGTCGGTGTGTGCCGAAGAAGGCGAGTTTGTTTTTGCTTTTCCTTTGGTGGTGAAGCGAATGGACGTCTGTTGGTGGTTTAAATGCTGTGAGAAGCTCTGTACACGTTCACGGGCTAATATGGTGAAGGTGCCGTCTACGTAGCGTTTCTAGATCCTGAGTTTGATGGTGATAAACGTCTTACTGTTCTTCAAATTAATCATCAGTAATTCAATGGAAAAACTCATAAAGTGCCACTCCAGGCTACCTATTAATGTGTGTTACCTATGAGTGAATATAAGAAATGAATTTATCTATAAGACGTTTGAGTGCGCTGGGTGTTAAATTAGTTGTGCCGTATTTTAACGGGCCGGCAGGGTGAGTCAAAATACAAATTGAGATTTGAAGTATTATCGCGGCAGTTTCGTTCGTATCCAAACGTTAGAAAAGACAATCATAGTGGATATAATACTTTGGAAACTGGACTGTACCCTTGACCTTGAAAACAATGGAATTACTGGCTCTTAGTTGGTGTAAAAAAATAGTTGACTTAAAACAAGACAATAGAATGAGGAAAACAATAGGTTAATAAGGCGATGTTCGATTGCAACGTGTCTTGTGTCTTCTACACCAAGAAGGAGCCGAATTACTTCCTTATAAACTTACGAGCTTGTGACTTATTTTTACTTGCAAACAATCCTTTTTTCTTCTGGAGCTTTCAAGCCAATGTACATATCGCTGTCTTTTTTATCATGAAGTCATCAACTTAATGATAGATCAGACAGTGATATGTACATTGGCTTGAAAGCTCCTGAAAAAAAAGGATTGTCTATAGTCTGAAAAAAGCCATTTTTCGCTATCTATCTATTTATTTATTTATTCAATTGCTGTATTTACTAACTTTTATTACTCTTAATATTGCGCATATTTCCTTCCGATTTGTAGCCTCCCGCCTCCTCCGAATTAAAAAAAGGAATTGGTAAGTGTTTGGTGTTGTTTTTGTTGCAATACACTAACTTTTAAATCAGTGTCAAAAGGAATGCCGGAATACTTTGGTTTTACTTTGCTTTGCTCTGTGATTGGTCCAGAAAACTCGCGACACTCTAGCAACGGATCAATCGCGTTTTTACTCCGCGCTTAATACTTTCCTATTGGCTCCTTGTGATATTTTTCCTTTTTTCTGTTTGGCCGTTGCGATCACTTTGGTTTTGGGTTTATGACACCAAATGGAATAATGTTCTACTGGTAAATACAAGTTATCAGTTCTTAAATATGCAAACCTAGAAATGGTCTATCTTTTTTTAATTCTAATATGGAGACTAAATAACATGTTCTTAGTATGAGGTCATAGTAAGCTGCCTTTTTTCGTGTTTGAAATAATCAAGCATGCTCCTCACACTCAACAGTGATGCCGTATTCTTTCTGTTACTCAAAGGAGGCTGTCAGAAAAAATCAAATTTGTTCCAAGATTTATTTGAAAAGCAATGTTGGATGCATGGGATTTTTTGTTGTTTAAGTGTTATCAATGTCTTATGAATGTAGTGCCATTCTTTCAGCAATATTGAATTTTACGGTGGATACTTGAAACAGAGATATGATACAAATAATAAATAACTGTAACATTTTCAAATTCAAAGACAGGGGCAGTAGCAAAGTGAAAGTACTGTATGACTTACTTGACTTAAGCCTTTTGGTCCCCTGAGGAACATAGAGCTGTTAAGAAATTTGGGTGATAACTTTTGGTTTTGCTACATACCTGAATTCGTTGCTACGCAAAGTTTTGGGAACTTGATGTTATTTTTTACCTTGGAAATCCAAACTGAGTACAAGACCTGGTAGTCGAGAATTGACAAGCCTTTCTTTTTTCTTCACCCACCTCTCTCTACATAAATCAAAATTCTGAGATCTGTAAAAATTCACTTACTAGGCAGTTTTAATTCCAATTTTTTGAGTCATGTATGACTTTCTAAGATTCCAGATCGGAGGGGGTTCAAAATTTCTTAACCTTCTGATAGAACAAGGAAATCGAGGAACAGAAGCATCAGTAAAAGAGCTCGGTTAAACGCAACTTTTGGGCAAACATCATCACATCAACTCTCCTTTCAAACTAGTGCAATACTTGCCCTCTCTTAGGAAAAGCAAGTAAAGTTTGTGAAATGTTTATGAC